TTTAATTCCATTAATCATAATTGATCATGATTAATCCACAGCTACCATATGATTAATCAGATTCCATATTTTAATAGTATGACAGACTTAGATCGGGACACTGAAAAATCATATACTTCATCGAGTATTTGGGCTGTGTATTTTAGGAGCATAAAGACAGCGAGGCCTGTGAAGTTCCACGTGTAGGAATCGTGCTGCAGCCTTCACAGGGCAGGGGTTCCTCAGAAGAGAAGCGAAAACACTGTGACACATTTTGACATCCTACTGGAGAATAGGTGACTCAGAGTGTACACACATGCTGAAGTCACTCATCAAGACAGAGCACGCACAGACATACAAACACAGGCTGCAACATGTGAGAATTAGGCTTTTACCCCTGTTATCTAACACCACAACATTGTCCATGAGCCACACACAGAGTCACTTCACTGTCAGCACCATGGGCCCATTGTATTGTGGGAGGAAGAAAGAACAGAGGCTACAACCCTCGCTGGGTAAGGCAAAGGGTTGTGAGAGAGGAAGAGGAGAGACAAGAGATGAGGGGGGACTGCTACTGTTTGGGTCAATGAACTCCCCGTCAGGCTGTCTGAAAATTTCACCCAGCGATCACAGTTTCTGTCTGCTTCCTTCTCTGTCAGCAAAGTGCAACACAGCATCCACTGAGCAACTGGGAGGAAAACATCTGAGTGGTGGGACTGCAGGACTGAATCAGTCTGTGACTCACTGTGGCCTTGTGTTTATGTAGTCTGTGGTCATTTCAAAAAAGAAAAGTTTGTTGTTGGTGAAGTTACTCATACATTAAAACGAGTCAATTTCCAAAGAAATATCAGCCCAGTTTTCAAACATCAACTCATGACGAAAAAAAGGGCAAATGCCTGACAATCCACTTTTCCACATGGCAATAATGACAACACCAGTGTGGACAGGCTGATTTATTCTTCCTTTCTTGGAGGTCATCTTTAATCTGGAATGTTAGATGTTCAATAATCACTCAAGGTGCTCCTGGTGGCTGTGCCAGGCACTGCATCATCATGTGAGGTGGTAATAAAGAATAAAGCCGAGTCAGACAGCTGCACTCTCTGAGTCTGTATCTGCTGGAGATGCTTTGGTGTTATGGAATAAGATTTCCTCCTTATTGTTTTCAAACAATAAATGCTGTACTATGTTGAAGTAAATGAATGATGAGGTGACTGACAGGAAGCTAGGGCTTTCACTCCTTATAGGTTTGTGCTTTTTGCTTTGAGGTAGTAATGAATGTATATTTGCGTTCTCCCTGGTCTTAAACCTGTGGTCGTCCACAGCAGCTGCCCATTCCTGGGACGTGAGTGTGAGTTACCATCAAACGGAGGCTGCTCAGCACCCTGGCAGCCTGCAGGGATGAGTCAAACCAGATCCTTCAACCAAGCACTTCTGCCTGCACCTCCCTCCCTCCATTAGTGTGACTCAGACTGCCCCCTTACAACTGGACTTAATGCAGACCACATATCAGGCACGCAGCTGTGGTCTCCATTCAGGCCGCAACACGACCCTCTCCTTTTAACTTCTCTCTTTTATCTCCCTGTCCATCTATTTTCTTTATCCCAGTAGTCACTTCTTGTGCCCGCTGCTCTGCTTGTACCAACTAACCGAGCAGCCACAAGGTATGTCTTCAATGGATCCAGTGGCACTGGGCCAGTCGGTCTGCTCTCTGTGGAAAGGGTGGTTATCTGGTGGTTTGGTTGAAGCCGTGCAGCAGGAGGATTTGTTAGCCTTTGAAACTGTAGACTGTAGTTGCAGTGTGGCTTTTTAATGAGAAAATTATGATAAACCCAAACTGATTGAACAAAACCAGGACTTCTCATGAATGAGAGAAGAAAACTGCCACATCAAATACTTTTGTACTTGGCTAATTCATAAATCAGTTTGGTGTATATTTGGTTTGGTGAACAGTTAATATTACAGCTTTTAAGATGTACTTCAATTAATTTTGTATCCGTTTCTAAAGTAAATGTTCCATAGTTGGGAAGATGTTTTTATCTTCATTGCATGTTGTTAAATTTCATCATAAACTCTATGAGAGACAGAAAAATTAAATGTAACATTCTGAGTAGTAGTAGTAGTAGTAGTAGTAGTAGTAGTGGTAAAGAGGGTAGTTGCAAATACTGCAGCATCCCAAGTTGGAGCTTCCTCTACATTCAGAGTGTAATCACATGCAGTACCTGTGAGGTTTAGTGTGGAGGGTGACATGGCCACTGGATCTGACAGGGAGTTGAGAGGAGCACCGTCCTGCAGCCAGATGACCCTGACGGGCTCTGGGGGCCCGTGGGCCACACAGCTCAGGCTGATGGACACGTTGGCCACTACAGACATGTGCTGGGGCTCCACAGAGAAATGAGGAAGACCTGAAAGAGAGGTGACGCCATTAGTCTGGTATCTATATCACCAAAGCACATGAAACTGGCAGCAGTCAGTAGTTTGTCCTGTACCGAAACAGTGGAAGAGGAACTCACCCTCCAACTGAATACCTCCTTCCTCAGAGACAATCTGGTGACTTTCCGACAAAACAGCACATCGATAAGAGCCCATGTCAGGAAGTTGGACCTTTTCGATGCTGTTAGGTGTGTACACGAGAATTACAATTTATTATTAAATTATTATTATTAAATACTATTATTATTCTTAAATGCTAAAAGATGCTCAGTCATTGGTTTTTAGCATACAGAATCATTTTACAGCAGCTTAGGCTGACAGTGTGGTGTGGGTGGTGCTGTTCTCTGTACTGACAGTTACACACAATGGTGATGTAATCCAGCAGCAGAACTGGTTCAACTTGGTGAAAGTATAAGGCGGAGTATTGAAAAAGAAAGTTCTCTCACAGCTGACTGGTTTGGGCCAATAGGCGTGGCTTATTTAAAACATATTAAAGTATCCTCACCTCAGTGTGCTCATGATGGTCCAACTGTTGCTCCCCGTATGCACTTGAAACTGGTTGGTGTCTGCGTACTGAAGAGGCACGTTGTCCCTAAGCCAAAGAACATCAGGAGGATCCTCTTCCTCACCTCCCATTCCTGTCAGGGCGCAGTGCAAACGAACAGGTTTCCCCAGAGAGGAGATAATCGTAGCGGGACTTCTCTCAAACTCCAGCTCTGAGAAGCAGAAAAGACAAAACTACTGTTAAAAAAATGTATTACAGCATTCATCATCAAATAGGAGCAAATCCATCCCACGCTCTATTCCTTCTGTAGTTGTTCCCTAGAAAATAGTAATGTCATTCTGGCAATTCTTATTAGGTATGTGATTAAATATAAATTAATGCAATCTAATTTTCAGGAATTGTGGTTTCTGACAAACCTTGATAAATGCATTCTATTTGTTAGACAAATTTAAAATTAGAGCTGAAACACTTTTTTAAAGTTTGGGTGACAATGTTTAAGTCTAAGGTTTAAACAATAAATAAAAATGTGTGCACACCAAATCTTGTTTCTACTAAAGCTGCTGTGTGTGTGTGCTCACTCTGATTAATGTGTCTATTAATTCTGGACGTGGTTAATGACAAGTGATCACAACACACAACTTCTCCGTAGCTTCACGAGTCTGGTTATCTGATAGGGAGGGAGGGAGGTGACCTGGGAAGGACAGACACTGATACTGGGACAAAGGGTCCTTGTTAAGAGGACGGCAGCTCTGACAGAGTCAGTGCACGGAGAGCTCAACGCTAACGCAGATGAAGAAATTAGTCCTTGATTTGTAACACTCGGTTACATCTGTGAGTCCATTCAGTGTCCACATGTGATGTAAGGCATTAAATGACGACTAAAGCATTTCTGGGTTTCCTTTTAGTTCAAAAAGATCCAGCAGAATTTAGAAATGATGCTGTGGACATATCACATGTACAGTCGAAGGGTAACAGTTTTTTTCTCGTTTGTCAAATTGGCAGTTGATCAAAGTTCTATGATCTTTGTGTGTGGCTCGTAAACTTTACCTGACACCGAGTTACAGCTACAAAACCTAAAGTGAATTGAACTGCGCACATTTTGGACTGCCTTCCAGTGTGGACTGACAGCCAATCAGCAAACGGCCAAGCAAACATTCAATCACAACTTTCCTCAGACTAATGTGTCTGCCTCTGTTTGTCAAGAGTCAATAAACACATAAAAGAAGAAGAAGAAGAAAAAACTGATAAGAGATCAGCCTCACCGGGTACTGAACAAAATCCAGACACAATCAAAGTATTTATAGAGCTACAAACTTTTTACTATACATTAAGTTAGGGGAAATACTTTACAGCATTTCATATAAAAACTAGTTTTACAGATTTGACTCCATAAACAATTCCTTAAGTTGAGGAAATAAAAGTAATGGAGCAAAAACAAATATGGTACAACAGCGACAACTAGTACTTCACTGCACAGCTCTTCCCAATGAAAGAACTAACGAATTAATGTGCAATAGGAGTAATAAAAGATCCCAGAAATTCCAACTCTTGAACAGTACATTTTTGTCTCTCGTTCTTCTCCTGGGATGTGGGGCTGTGCTATGATTGGTGACTTGGATTAAGTCTCTTGCCCAAGTTGCCACGCAGACAGGCCTTTTGGATGGAAGATGAGCTCCACTGCCAAGCCAATTTTTTTTTGCAGGAAACCTCAACATAATAACTGAGATGAGGCGTTTTCCTGAATATCGAATATGATTCAGGAAAAAGTTTGGAGACAATATACAAATGTTTTAGTCAAATTTTTGCCGACTCTTGTAACTATTTTATCTCGTACTGTTTACGGTGTGTTTGTGGTTTACGCTTAAATGCAAGGACATGGGCACTGATTCCCCGTGCCCCTTTTCTCCATCAAATAAAAATGTGAAGTATGTGCAGGCAGCCATGGCAGAGCCTGCAGCACATGTTCCTGCACTTGAGAAAACAGATAAAAGATAAAAGTAATATGGGAATGTTCCAACTTGACTTAAGCCAAGAATAAATCACACTTGTTTCCCAGAGTGATATCTGTAAAGACTTTCTCAAGCTTGTGTCCCCACCCACCCTGTCTATTTCACAGTCAACCTTCAACCTTTGACTCCACAACCGTGACCTGTCCCACAGCAGCTGAATGTAGACATGCAAAGTAGGGAATACACACAGTGACATTGGACTTGTGTATTGACCATGTGATCAGCAGAAGAGGCTCGGTCTGCCATAATTGAAGGAGTCTCTGCTTCACTGCCTCACTGTCACTGAGAATGCGCCTGGCATCTAAAGTCATTCCTCCCTCTGGTTTTAAGCTTGACTGAGCCTTTTCAAGTATCTGCAGGGCCCTGATTTGTTTTTGTTTTTTCCAGTGGTGCCTCGTTCTACAAAAAGAAAAATCCCTATTTTTCTCCACTGTCCCTGTAATGCTGCATTCATGAATTAATATGTCTGTAAAGCCCTTTATGAAGATGCAGATGAAGACAGTGAGGGCAGGTCACGGTGAGTCTCTCTCTGTGTGTGTGTGTGTGTGGCCCCTGTTTCTTTTGTTCTTATCTCCTTCCCTCTGTCTCCTAAATTCCCTAGAGGTCTTACACTCACTTTGCGATCTGTCTCTCTCCAACTCTTTCTCTGGACTCCTACTTTCTGTCTCTGCTGGAGAATGCTCACATGTTAAATGTCAGTGGACATGCACATACCCGAAATACCCAGCGCACAGTTCAATCACTTATTCTTCTCCGGCCCTTTTTTTAACTTTGTACTTCAGTAATTCAGTCCCGCCATTCAGTGCCGCGCCTTTGCCCTTGTTCCCATTTAGCCCCCTTTTCATGCCATTCTTCCGATTCATTGCTACACATTTTGCCACCTCCCCTCCTTACCCCTATCCTCCACTCTTGCCCCTTTACCCCATCCATCATTCCCACTACTTGACTCAGAGCTGGTTTGACTCTGACTCACAAACCAAAGCATCCCTCTCTCCCCTCACAACCACTTCCTCATGTCTTAAGTCCTGGCCCACAGCCATATACAGCTCTCTACCAATGGGAAGCTGAAACACTAGGAAAATTCTCCAGTGAAACTGTTCAACTGAGCTTATAAATCACAGCAGTGTCTAGTAAATTTGGTCTCTCCTGGTCATGCATCCTCTGAGGGCAGAGGTGCAGCTCCCAGAGAGCCAGCATGACTGTAATGGTCAAAACACATGAGCCAGCAGGTGGAGGCCCCTGAAGGGCCTCTGTGTTGTTATCCACAGTCTGTGGAAGGCGGTGGATTCCACAAGGTTCAAACTGACAAGTTAATATTTTTACCAGAGAAGACCTTACATGTAAGCCTCATAAATGTGGTTGTTTATTTTAATATGTCTGACTGTGGAGTGGATTCTTTCCATAACTTCCTCACAGGATTTGCTGTAAACCTTTCTTCCTGTTTGTAGAATAAAATACCACAGCACTTGGTTCTCCATCAGAACTGCAAAGACAGCATAACTGTTTTTTTGCCACTCATAATCACAAAACATCACTTTCATCTTGGATGTTAGAGAAGAAAAACAGTTTCCCCTGAAAGAAAAAAACCCCTCCTGTCTCCACCGTTATCTTTATTTCTTTTAAATAGTATAGTGATCCCTCATTTGTATTTTTCCTTGATCCCATAAAGGCCATTGTTTAAGGTGGGTTAAATTAATGTTTACGTTGCCCAGATGTTGAGAAGGCACTGGCAGCCTGTGGTCGCGCTCTCCACCCAAAAACAAATTGATTTAACAAGTCAGGAGTAGAAGCTCGCTGTGCTAATTGCTCATTAAACATGTTTGCCTGCTTTGCACTAAAGTTGCCAAACATCACTCGGACTGGATCAAGCGTACCTGTGGCACACAGCCAGGAGTGCAGCTTACCTGTCAGAGTCCCGGCGGTTACTGGTCCCAAAGCAGGTAAAACAAAGCCGAGGACCAAAAGAGACCAGTTGAACCTGCCCATGGTGCTTCTTGGTATGGGTACACCTCTGAGAAGCAGCTTCAAGAGAGGAGCAGTCGCCTTGAGAATCTCACGGGACACCATCACCGCATCTCAGCACTTCCAGAGTTGTGCGCTCTTTAACCCAGATGTTGCAAAAACAATATAATCCTTAAAACAAATCCGTTTGTTTCAGTTCCTCTAATAAAAGGACAGACCCCTGGTTAAAAAAGAAAGAAAGAAATGTAAAAGTCTTCTTGCTTCCCCTTGCGTTGTTGTTTTGGTTGATCCAAAACCGCACGGATGTCCAACAAACTCTCGGGCGAAGCGACCCTTTAGACCGATGATGAAGTTGTCCAAAGTACAAAGAGTGTATTTCTGGAGACTCGCTGGGTATTTTTAACACAGACCGTCCTGTGGTTCCAAACTTCTTTTCTCTCCTGCTCACCGGTGCCTACAGACTCACTCAGACATTCAGCCCCCTGCTCTTTTCTCCACGCTCTCTCTCCCCCTCCAAACAGGATTCAAATTCCTCAACTCAACTTCTTTCCACCCTCCTCCCACTCCTCCTCCTCCTCCTCCTCCCTCCTTTTTGCCTCCTCCTCATCCTCCTCCTCCTCCCTCCTTTTTCTCTCAGAGGATGTGTGAGAAAGAGTGCCGCACGCTGATTGTCTTAACACAACCCCCCATTGTTTTTTCTGATTACGCGCGGATCCACGGAGGTTGTAAATAGCCGCGACTATTTACCATAGTGGAAACAAAGTAAGTCAGATGTCAGTCTGTGGCAGTCACAGAGCTGTAAACCACTATGTTTACCCTCACTTCAAGGCAGGTTGATTTAAAGACCTTTCACGTGAATCGTTTCATTTTCTCCCATGAACACAAAAAGTCCGGCCTAAATACACAATATCTATTAACACCACGTGAAAAACGTAATCAGATTATATAGTGACAAACCAAACACCTAAGTTGTCTTATCGACCCCCTGTGGACCACAGAAGCACTTATGTCAACTCCCAATGCATTGTGACTTTTATTATTATGCTGCCAAATTAATCATTATGTTCGCACAAAAGCGCGTATTTTAGCAATATCAAAAATGCTTGGTTTAATTGAGTTCGCGATGAAATCTATGACGCTGTCTAGACGTTTTTCTACAAACTTTAGTCTTATCTCTGGTATTTTAAGTTGTTCTAAAACACTAAATATTTGCAGAGTGATTAGCCAATTAATGCCGGTTCAAAAATGGACAAATTTGCCATTACATTAAATATAAATAGTAAGCATTAACCAAAAACAGCTAAACAGTAATTTAGGCATGTAGGTTATGGATAAATTAGAGAAAGAAATTAGAAATAAGAAAAGTGAGTTAGAAGATAACCCAATGCTGAAAATTGTTTTTTTTTTTTTAAACAGCAGCAAAAAGTTTCCTCAAACACAACAGGATTAAGAAAACACACACACACACCTAACCAGATTAACCCAGGGTTAGCAAATATTTAGCAGGTTAATTCAAATGTATCTCTCAGACATACTGAGATCCTGGCTCTGTGTTTATCAAACAACTTTATTTACTTCACATAAATGTAGTTAAAACAATGCTCCAGATTTAAGATGTGATTAAGGAGTCATAGACTAAACACCACTCTGTTGATCTCAGCTCCACGTATCTGGGGTCATGTTGGAGCTGCCGTCTAAGTACATGCTGATTCGCAGACGTTCCAGTGTCTTTTTTCAGCCTGTATTGTCTGTGGTGATTTTTGTGTTTAGACAGAGGTTGATGCTGGTCAGGTCTAAAATGGGCCTTTGTTGAGTTCACATACAATTTCTCCACCATTTCTTTAAAGTATGGTCTGATTTTGTACTTGGGCTAAGAAGACCTGGAGCCCGCTGGCCCTTTAAGAGTTCCTCTGTGGACAGTGTTGTGTTCCCAGGGTTTTTAATGGAGACAGAGGGAGACTGAGAAAGACCCCATTGTATATGTTCCCTTTTCAATAGGAGCTTGAGCAATGGAGCTCTCAGTGCTCTCAGATAGACAGAGAGAGAGAGAGAGAGGGAGAGAGAGAGGGAGGGAGGGAGATGAAGGGAGGGAAGGAAGAGGGTCACAAAAGGGGTCCCGTACAAGAATGAAGGTTGATCAAAACAAAAACACAAAGATTTTGGGGGCTGTATGAACCAATCATAGGGCGAGTGTTTAGGTTTTCACTGGGATAGACTTCATCATCAAGTGTTTCTGCTGAGGCAGCACCAAAAACCTGCAAACCGGATTCGCCAACAGCAAGACTTGGCATAATTTTTTTTAGATGACGCTACAGAAATATATAGTATGATGTACAGTGAAAAGCACATGAGCCCAGACACTCCAGCAATACAAGTTATGTGAACTCTCCTTCATGTTCCCTCACAAAGGCAGGCTGTGGAACAAATATCCTCACTGAACTTCACTGCTAAACAAAACAACCTGTTAGTTTAAAAAAGGGGGAGGTGGGGGGAGGGGGGCTATTGGCTCCAGGACATGGGAAACACCTTCCTCATACTCTCCCAGCTACAGGGACACCGGGGGGTCACTAACAATGAAGTCGACTTTTCCCTTTCTTCATGTTGTCTCTGGAGCCTGGATGCAGCCAACGATGAGCTGCTTCTTCCAACCTGTTGATCCATCACAGGGACGGTGGGGAGCGGTGACTAAGAGTTTAGCAAATCACTTCTGCCCCCTGCTGGTTACAATTAGTAAGCTCTTTTTAAATAAATGGAATAAATAGATTCACAGCGACAAGACAAAGACAAGGTCGTGTTTCAATGTCTGAACACAGTGGTAATTTATGGTTTTGCCTGCATTAGAGTATTGTTGTGTATTTCAGCAACAATATGTATTTTCACCTTTATCATCCCATACGCCTATTAATCACATTTGTCCGGATTATTCAATTAATTAATCAAACAATGTTTTTTATTTATTTCAAATTAGCCCTGTAAAACAACAGCCTGCATTAAAAACAACTTATTTTATTTTGCTCATGTCAAAGCCTATGGATGTGGCATAAAAGTACCCAGTGATGACTCAACGGCTGAATAGAAGCCACAGAAGCACGCCATTAACTTTAATGACTCTGGCTAACCCCAAATAGAGTTCAGCTGTTGTATTTGGATTTTTACATCAGTCACCAACTTGCATCATAAAGAGACAGTTGTGGTTAGCAGAGCATCATCAGGGTGAGAGAAATACAATGGAATACAGTTAGAACAGTTCACTTGAAGTAGTGAACATGATGCAAGAGCGAACATTCTGCCAAAATGTCTAAAACAGACTAATGCCAAACTGTCAAGGAGGTTGTTAAGAATCCCACAGCAGCAATTATAAACTACATGGATCTCTGACAGGTCTGACTACTCCCTCAATTTATCAAAAACGTTTGATGCCAATATTAGACCAAGATTCAACAGTTTGGCCTTGATCTAATGCTGTCACTGCAAACGCTGTGAATACAGTGGTGGCAGGACAGGAGGGTGGGTTGGGTTTTTTTTTTTTTTTTTCTCAGCTGCATTAATTGCTGTCGTTGACGGTTCATCGGTCTGTGAAGAAATTTAAGATGAAGAACAATTAAATAAACTATATTTATTAAAGCTCTGACCACAATCGTTTTAAAATCAGTTCTGACGTTGACCTGAAGAGGTCGGTATTTTACACAGTCTGACTGCTTTGTGGTGACCGTGATTTAGATCAGATACAGCGGACAAATAAAGAAGAGGCATAATAAATTAATTTAGTAATAAAGTGAATGCTACATTAACAAAAGATACATTTAATGATAACTACAGTCCATTATAGTACATTATAGTACAGTCAGAGTCTACAGTATGAGAAGATGCTACATTAACAAATGATACATTTAATGATAACTACAGTCCATTATAGTACATTTGTGTCGGAGTCTACAGTATGAGAAACAGATTTCTAATGAGCCCATCCCTAACCTCCACAAAGACACTAGTTAATTCAGCACATCTGCTTTGTTTTAAACAAGCATCTGCACTTGACAGTACACATCTGGGATATGAAGAACAACAGTGGATCAACTATGGAACCAGGTTGTCATGCTGGAAACCCTCGTGCAAAACTAAAGCAAAAACTAAAAAGCAGACTAAAATATGTCTTTTTGCCAAGTGCAAATAAAATACACAGTCCAACCAGAACAGTTCACTGAATAAATCTTAAAATAATTCATTTTCCTTTTATTTTAAATACAGGCTATACCTGTGGTCTTGATGAGACTGAACATGTCTTCATTCACAAATATATCCCCCAGGATAATTAAAGGCAAACAGAGCATTTAAAAATGAAACAAATGAAAGTCAGGTATGATAGATGTGCAGAGAAGAAATATATAGAATTTGAAGATTGTGCAGTAAAGTCTGAACTTTACTGCAGTAACATTTTGACCCTTAAATTTGCAAAGATGCCTTTGCAGTCCTAGGAAAAACTAGGCAAAGCTTAATGTTTTGGTCAAAGCAATTGAATTACACATTACATTTGCCTCTAATTTGGTTGAAGTATTTCCTCCTCATTACAATGACCCACAGCATGATCTTCTTCTTGAATAATCTATTGTTGATATTGGATTTCAAGAAGACAGAGTAGTAGAATACATTAAATCCAATTTGGAAATGTAAAAATAATAAAACAGTTACTCTGTGTTTACCAAATCTGGGCAGATTAAAGTTGGTGGTTTAGTCTCTCTGTGTTATCGCAACTGACTTTCAGGCCTGCAAGAATAGTAATCTCCGCTTTTTAATCTGTCTGAGCGGAAGGTGACCGCATACACTAAATCAGAGGTCATCCAAGGGCATAATCTGAAGCAGATTCGATGATGGTTTGAGGAAGAAGCCTCACATTTTGTCATCAAGAGGCCTTACTCTGTGTGCAGGATGAGAAAATAAAGGGTTTAATCTGGACGCGGACGTGGTCCTGAGAGAGACAGAGCACGATGCACATCTGGTGATGAGATTCACTGGGTGTTTTTGATGGGTGGAGATTAAACACAGTTCAGATTACCGCAGCCCTACATGTTAATGCTACATCTATGTGCCAGCGGAGGGGACAGCTGCAGTTCCACTCACAGCTGCCTAAGAAGAATATCCTAAATAGTCTGGATTATGTCTGTCCGTCTGTCCCCCCTCCTCTCTCTCTCTCTCTCTCTCCCTCTCTCTCTGTGTGTGTCCCTATTTTTCATCATCAAAATCTCTGTGTATTATTTCAGTCCCGGCTTTCATGATGACCACAGGCTTGAACACAGCGGGCATTCACAGAGGTTTCCTCAGAAAATATGGTAGGCCCATCTCCGTTACGTGTTATTTTTTATTTAACAGAATTTTAAATATTACCAATTCAATACAATACTAATGTTTTTTTAAAAAAGGACTTGAATTACACAGCAGCTAGAATATCCAACGGTGTTTACCACATCCATTGTGTTTATACCCTGTAGGTCACATGTCAGAGTCGCTGTGTTTACCCTGATGTTATTTCACAATAGCAGGTTAACTGTAGCTTCAGCAGTTCTCAGGAAAGCTGTGTCATGGTTACCAGGTCATATTGTGTGAACCGAGACTCGTGTTGACATGGAGTCAACAAGCTTTACTTGATTCTAAAAAGAGGTGCATTTGCAGTTTTTCATTTTTATGACCCTTCATGTATTCTGTTAAGGTCACTGGTATTATCAGTGTTGGTCAGTGACCCAACAGTGAGCTGGGAGGCTGATGTTAGTGACTCAGAGGAGGAGATGAGACTTTAAATACTAATTTTGTCCAGCTGTCAGTTTTCATCAGCTGTGTTTATGTGACAACAGCATGTGTGAAAGTATCATGCATCACTGAACTAGTTTTGTTAGCATTGTCTCTAAGTCATAAAGAAGTCTTATATTCAAGTACAGTGTGCTGCACCCTGACCCCCTGTCTCTCTACTTCAGCCATGTCCAAACTATTCCTTAAAGGGCCGTGTGGCTGCAGCTTTTTCTTGAGCTGTCTGAAGACTGAGATCAGTTCATTAAACCTGTCGACTCAGGTTGGAAAAAAAAGCCTGCAGCCACAGTGGCCCTTTGTGGAACAGTTTGGGCACCCCCGCTCTACGTGCACCTGCCTCCTGGGCTTTCTGTGCTTCCTGTTTCTCTGTCTCGCAATCAATCGTACCTCAAGCACCTGTCCTGTGATTACCTGACGTGCTGCACCTTTGTCACCGCCTCCCGTGTCTTTGTAGTCCTCTCTCACTCTCTTCCTATGGTGGAATTGTTAGGTCTTTGCTCTTGGTTTAGCGTGAGTCTCAGCACTTGTTTTTTTCTTTTCTTTTGTAGTCTAGCGTGTTTAGTTTCGTCAAATCACTTTACTTCCAAGGAAAGTTAACAAATGTACTTTGTCACTGATTATATTCTTGTTTACTAGACCTCAAACTAGAGACCTCATAAGACAGGATTTATGTGTTTGTTTGTGCTGCATTTGGGTCCAAACATTTTATTTAAATCTTCTCTCATTGTTATGATCCATACTTGTGTTGTTCAATAAAGACAGAGGCCAGAATAAAACCGTAATGTTTTACAAAACTATGTCCTCACTGCAGGGAACGTGGCCTGAAACCTTTTTTGAACATGTGTCACAAATCATACAACTTTTAATGACAGACTCAACAACACAAATCAGATTTTTTTTTTAATCTGGTGCCTCTCATGTGTGTTCCTAAAACTGTAAACAGATCTGATGTTATTTAAAACTTACTCAGCCTGAATATGAATGTTGCATACAAACATGCATTTAAGACCTTTGACAATTCTGCACCTGAGGTGGCCAATAGTGACACAATCACTTGCCCTCCCCCAGATAATATAGTCTAGAATTTTGTACTTTTATGAGTAAAAATGATGCTTGAACCACATGAGTGATCTCTCTGCAGCTGTGTACTTGTAGCTGTGTACGGTGTAGCTTATATAATGTCTGTGGCAGATGATCCTGAAAGAAGCTTGGGTCAGTGTTTCAAATGTCTTTGTCCATTAAAAAGAAATCAAAAAACAGTAAACATTAGTAAAGAAAAAATAATCTATACATTCCACAGTCTCTACCATTTTCTGTCTGTCCTTTATGTAGTGAAATACTGTATGTCTCTCCCAGCGTTAGCATATGCTCACCCACTGTTATCATAATTAAAAACTGATCAGTGTCTGGAACACTGTGCCATTTAATAAATCACTCAATGCACACAGGTTTTAGACTAAGCTCCCGTAAAGGACTTGTAGAGTTTTGTGTAATATCTTTTAATTTATGAGTAATGTCACTTAGGTTTATTTCACATTTTAATTCACTTCGTGAAGGGACTGCGTATGTTGTCACTTTGCTGATAAAGCAGTTTTTTCTAGCAGATTAAAACAAAAGGGAAAATTTTCAGATTTGAAAATGTCCTTTTCTCCACATGTAGACTACAGTTTGTGTATTTTGGCTGCAGGGGGCTTCATGTTCAAACAGTGGAAAGAAAAGTACCTCGTACTTACCATGGAGGGAAAACTGCTGGTGTGTCGTGATGCAGAGTCTCCTCCAGACCAGGTGGTGTCACTGCAACACAACTGTGAGTCGATTGCAGAGGGACGGGAAATACTTGACTTGCCCAAATTGCCTCCAGGGGGCAGGAGAGACTGCTGCTTTGCCCTCATCCTGCCACAGGACAAGTTTCTGCTGTTGCTTGCGGACAGTCCAGATGACTGCAAGTATGCCTTCCCCCCCTCCCCCCACCCCTCACAGACACTTTTTTAAAAGACTGGGAATACTTAAATAATGACAATATAAATGGAGAATATGAGAATTCTGTCAACAAAACTGAGGAAAGAGTCACTTTATCTGATAAAAAAGAGAAAGCAGGAAGTGCCTTAAGATTTAAAATTCATAAAAACATGTACTTCATATTTTTGTTGTCTTGGCTGAGTGGCATTGAACAGGTCGTGAGCTTGTGTTGTCTGGGCTGTTGTCTGCCTGGTTATCAGTTACACCACACTTAATAACATGCAGGTCATGTTTAACTCTTTCTTTTACAGTTTGTGGATGAATTTAATCAGAAAGGTCAGAGAGGTGAGTCTGCAGTCTTTGATCTGTGTATATATCTCAGTACTCATTTCATTTTCAAGTTCATTGTACATGTAACACCCTTCGTCCTGTGCAATGATTAAAGATTGATTGATTGATTAAAGTTCTTTGTACTTCTACTTAAGTATTACTTAAAACATAAAATGACTACTATAATAGTAAATACAATGTTATTATTATTTCGATTTACTGTGTCTCTGTGGTGCAGTAACCATTTTATTTCCCTCCCTGTGTAGGGTGTCATGTCACCTCTGACCTTTCAAAGTCAGCGCACCATCGCTCCCTGCATTACAGACAGAGACCCTCTGCCCAACTCATGCAGTGACAAAGACCTGGGGTCACCCAGGACGTCTGATGGCGCTTCTTCTCCGGCCATGTCTCAGGTCAATGAACGGGGGGGATCGCTGAGAGAAAGACACCAGAACCAAGGTCAGGGTCGAGCGGCTAGTCGTTTAGCTCAGATGCTAATAATCAGCTTCTATGGTTTATGGGGTTGTGTTATACACATACTGTAATTCTTCTGATATCACAGGACTGCGGAGGCCCCTGCACAGTGTGTCCGGGGCCCCACCTCACCGTGTGTCAGGATGTCTTCGGCACGGGAACGGCAGCGATGCCCGAGCGGTCAGAGCGTTGTGTTTGCTGATGGGAGGGGCGGCTGGCTCCTCCGCCGTGGCGTACCTTAACTCTTGCTCCCCGGCCTCTCCGCTGGCCGGCAGAGCCCCAGAGGTCAGCCACAGTTCAGGAGGCTTCTCTGAGTTTCATTCAGCAGCGTCGTTCCACGGCTGTGGTCAGGACGTGGACCCCCCTCACTTTAACAGCTTTGACTTTGAAGGAGACTCGGACTTTGATGCATTTGACTGTGGAGGATTTGCTTTTTAGCTGTGACTAGAAAACTGACCCATGTTGAAAACCTTAATCCTTCCCGTGAATGTATTCCTATATAATACAATGGCATCGTTATTAATTCATGAATCAATCCTTGGGTTATCTATACGTCAATTTATAAATTAATGACGGTAGTGGTTCTTCCTGGCTCTGTGCCCATGCTCCTCAGCTGAATCATTCATGATCTGACCCCGTTATCTGTGTCGTATCCCTCTTTCCATGCCACAGGTCCAATTGAGGTCAACTGCACAAGCAGTTTAATGACTCCACTCAGCCACAAGGATATATATATATATATATATGGAAATGCATATGCAACTAAAAGCCTCAGGGTTGTAATTTTTCTTTAACATTTCCCTCTAAGAATATTAATAATGTCCTCCTTCATCAGCCTGTTTAGTTGAACCTTTGACATCCCTATGGCCTGTATATAAATTGCTGCATCACCTACCGTCTGCACATATTAACATTAAAAGCTGTTCAAAGGTAATATATACATATATATATATATATGGAAATGCAAGGCTCTAATTAGGCTCTAATTAAATCCAGCTATCATCATGACATGCAGCTTTCGTGTCTACTGTTTGTTTATTGTCATTGGCAGGAGAGAGCAGGGTGTATGACTGGACAGTCTGTCCATTGGTGGTTGGAGTAAAGTAAAGCATGGACAGTCCAGTTGAAGTCAGTTTCAAAGTGAGACCTGATTTATTTAGGATGATTTTTTTTCTCTTGAAGTCAGTATTGTTCCTCAGCTGCAGGACAATGCTTAAAAAATTACCTTTATTGAGAAACGGCTCTTGAGTATGTCCAATTGCCACGGCAAAATTCTAACTAAACAACAACTGCTAAACACTGTCAGGACTGCCAAAGAGATACAAAGAGCACAATAAAAAAGTACCAAGTGATCAGTTGCTTTCCTGGCTTTATTCCCATCTGGATTTGAGCCACACATAGTAAACAAAGAGAGGCACATGCTTCACCTGTGGCCCAGTGCAACACGCCCTCCTGAGCTTGAAGAGCAAGATGAAAGGTGGGGCGTGATGGTGTTTAACTAGTTTAGTAATGAATCTTGGGCTAGTCTTGGCCCTGCTCTGGATTTTGAGATTAAAAATCAGGAGAAATTATAATCTGCGTCCAAGACCTGCTGCTCTTCCTCCTGTAGGAAACCCACCAATGATTGACAAAATAGAAAGTTTAAAAGCAGAGTTAGGGAGAACCATGAGAAACCCAATAATTAATATATATGTTAAGTAAATATGAAATAAGTCCAAAAATAGTTACATCTAAGGCAACTGGACAGAGTAGGGTTTTTTGTTGTTTTTTTAATTTTTTTTTTATGTAACTATTTTTGGATAATTTAATTTTTTTTTTATGTAACTATTTTTTCGGTAAGATGACTGAGAACCTACACAGATATGAAATAAGTCTTTTTTTCCAGTTCAGTGAAACCTATGGTCCGTTGATGACAGTTTACCTTGGCTTTCACACTTCACAGTTATTTTCTCTTCACTATCAGCTCAACACTATATTATAGAGTCCAACCGCAGTCTTTGAGAAAGACTTGCATCAGTGACGGATGAATGAAATAATTCTGTGTGTTTACCCGTGTATTTGCCTCAGCTGCTTTAATCTCTTATCGTTCTCTAATCCTTATCTCTTCCAGATGATGATTTGTGCAAAGTAAGGCCTGCAAATGTTACATAACCTTCTACAAACCTCTATCCATCTATCATCCATCCATCCATCCATCCATCTATCTATCATCTATCTGTCTATCTACAGTACAAACACAGCTGTGATAACACAAGCTCCTTCCTTAAGCTAAGCGTTAGCATTTATCTCAGTATTTTCTTTATGTTGTTCATTTTGTCAGAATGTTTGTGCCTACATCAACACATTAGGTCTTTCTGCCTCTCTGAGCTTCTGTCTGGTTCTCAGTGTTAATCAGTGTCATCAAACTCACCTGTCCCTGCTCGTTCTCCTCACTCCTCTCACCTGGTGACCTGGGTGTTCATACTCTCTACTTCACTCAGTCTTAGTCAGGTTGTTGGTCACCTTTCTGAATCTGTGTCCCTGTTATCCTCGTGGTTTGATCACCTCAATTCTTGTCTGGTCTTGGTTTTTGTGTGAGTTAAGTTTTAGTTTTTAGTTTCTCTACTGAATAAACGTCTGCACCAGAACGCTGTCTCTTGAGGGCTGTGTTTAGGTCTGGTCCCCCGTTTGGCTGAACAGAACAGAAAGACGTTTAAATAATCTACCTGCATTGGATTCATGTCTCTCGACTGCTGGGTTTTACGTGCTTCCTGGTTGTTCCTCAAATGTGACATGCTTTTGCTAAAAAGATTCTCCAGGACTAGTTATAAAAGATTTAGGCATATACTTCATCAGATGGCTAAAGTTTAGCCTCAAACAGAAATCAAATACCAATGCTGAGAAGAAGGCATGAAGCCATGCTGGAAAACTGTGGTTACGTAACATGTTTTCAAAGTGTCCTTAAATGACCCAAATAAACATACTGTTTTGTTTTTTTCATATTACTTCCTACCAACCAGAACATGTCTAGTCATGGCTTGACCTTCCAGCTTGATCCACTCTCCAGGTTTTCCAGAACAACCTTTGCCTTTAAAACAGGACTTTCTGGAGTGCATGTCAACACTGTTGCTCAATCTGCTATCTCAGCACAGACGTGACTGCTGCACAGAAGACGCAGCTGCGAGCCTGTACTCATGGAGACCTCTACTGCGTTGCTTTTAGTATTGTTGCTCATCATCTCTCTGTGTTGGCTGTTGACGCTGAGAAGCGATAAGAAGCATTGTTTTCCCCCAGGACCCCGGGGTCTGCCTTTACTAGGAAATGTGCACCAAGTGGACAAAAAAGCACCGTACTTAACACTTCGGAAGGTACGAACCTCTCTGATAGTTTTGTTTGTACTCAGTGCACAACACAGATTTGTCTGTGCATTAAGGATAGTTTGTTGTTGACATTCCTGATGTTAATTCTTAAACATTATCAGCTCTATAACAGAACAGCATTCATATTCACATGGCTCAAAATCTGTCACTCAGTGTTTTGTGCCTCAAACATAATTCACTTCTTCTTTAGCTGAGTTAAAAACAGTAGTCTTTTGACTGGGTTTAAAAACTTTATAAAGTAATTTACAGAAGTTACAACTGTACAAAGAAATGCAGTGTAGTGGAACTGATTGTTGACACTTAATGCAGATGAGTTTAATATTTATGTAAACAATTCATATTCATTTGAAACTTAGATTTACACATTTGCAACACACACTTGGAGCTGGTTTAGTTGGATCACATGTCTCTTAATTGTTTAAGAAGTTTAAGAAACCAAGGTCTCCTGTATTTACCTAAGAATTCACCTTTGGTTACAGTTTCTGGGTCAACAAAAATCATTTATCTAACCTGTATGAGGTCTGGGAAGGATAATGTCTAAATGCTGTTGATGTGGAAATAATATGGTCAACTTTAAGAGGTTTTGTGATTGCTCAAATCTGGCTTCAGTAAATTCTTATTATATTGTTGACCTTTTTTTTCTTTCTTTTTTAAATTTCCTCTAGTTCAGTGAACAGTATGGTCCAGTGATGACGTTGTTCCTGGGGCTGAAGCGCGCTGTGGTTCTTACGGGATATGACACCGTGAAAGAGGCGCTGGTGGACCAGGCTGATGACTTTGTCGGCAGACAACCTTTTCCGTTACTGGTCAGAGCCACCAAAGGATATGGTACCGCATCAACATCTGCTCTGTACTGGCTTTGCTCACCCTAAAGTTTCAGTTGTGGTTTCACCGAATCACACCCACCAGTGATAGTGTCTTCACATTCAGTACATTCCTTTTCTGAATGATGATGAAGTGCCTTTTTTTTTCTGTGACTGTGGCGCACTGATCATTTCAACACATTTATTACAATTCCTTTTTAGAAACAGCAGGATACATATGTGTGTGTATATATGTGTATATATATATATTTATACGTATAAGTGTACGACATGAAAAATGTTCCTTGACCCTTGGTTCAGCTCCTACTTCTACGTTGTTTTTAAAGGGATGGCGATCAGTAATGGATCACGCTGGCAACAGTTGCGACGATTTACACTGACAACTCTAAGAGACTTCGGAATGGGACGCAAAAAGATGGAGGCCTGGGTCCAGGAAGAGAGCAAACACCTGGTCGCCGGTATGGCCGAACACAAAGGTAAACAATAAATAAATAAAAATGTGAACCTTCATATTTACTTCCACTACAGAGAAGTGGAATACACAAGTGTGTGCTTCTTTTCAACATGTTTCTTTTGCGTTTTTTCCAGGTGTGCCGTTTGATCCAGTTTTCTTTTTTAGTTGCTCCGTGTCCAACGTCATCGGCTGCCTTGTGTTCGGTGAACGGTGCAACTACGACGATAAAGACTTCCTTTACATCCTGAAGTCGGTGGGAGACTTCCTAAGATTTGCCAGCAGTCCCTTGGGTCAGGTATGAGATTGGAAAAACAAAGGATCTGATTAAAGTTCTACTGGTGAAAGGGACGCCTCACTCACAGCCTTGAACTAATGGTTTTCACAGACCTGTTACAAATATTTTCTAAACATTCTTGAGTTGTTTTTTTTTTCTTCAGACAAGCATGTACGGAATGTTTTTTCAAACTTTCTAAAACCTTAAAGCCAGATCACCTATTGTAGGAGATGCCTAATGCTGATGTTTGTCTTAAAGATAGGCTTGTAGCTGGATACACGTGTTTCCTTAATGGCCTCATTTCATTGGCAGGACACAATTCAGTGTGTTTATATTTCACATGACTACTAGGGTGTTTAATCTGGCCTTTCTGACTGACTGTAGAACCATGACAAAGAGAGGTTTTTTTCGTTGTCTAACATAGAAAAGTGCTAGGCCTGTATGCAGTGTCACATTAAATCCAACAGTGCGACAGTGAAGTATTAACATTCTGTTAAACTCCATCACAGCTTTATAACATCTTCCCTCGGCTGATGGAGAACATCCCAGGCCCACAACACGCCATTTTTGCCAGGATTGAAGAATTGAGAAAATTCATTATTTCAAGGATCCAGAAACACGTGGAAACTCTGGACCCGAGTTCACCCAGAGATTATATCGACTGCTTCCTCATCAAACTCAATCAGGTAAAGATACATTTATATATATATGAATGATGTCAGAGCGCACTCAAATTTCGAATGTGACCAAATGTGTTTAATATTTTTATTTCAGGAAAAGGATGATCCTGCAACTGAGTTCCACTACGACAACCTGGTAGGAACAGTTGTGAATTTGTTCTTTGCTGGAACAGAAACCACCAGCTCAACCATCAGATACGCTCTGAATGTGCTGATGAAATACCCCAAAGTACAGGGTAGGTCCCATGCAGTAAAATATTCTAAATGTTTTTTATTTTATTTTTTTTGTTTTCAAAAACAAAATGCCTTCAACATAATTCCTAATTTGATGTGTTAAAGAAAGTGTGTTGTTGTGATGAAGTATGTCAATCCAGGCAGAACGCAGGTTTTGGTATTTTACAAATAATGATGAATAGTCACAGGAACCTCCACACAGAAACGGTGGAAAGATTACATGCAAATGAATTGTTGTACAAATTAAAGCCAAAATGAGTTGTATTTATTTCTAATTTGAAGAGCAAATGCATCAGGAGATAGACTCTGTGATTGGACGGGAGCGATGTCCTCGTATGGAGGACAGGAAGTCCCTCCCTTTCACTGATGCTGTAATCCATGAAGTTCAGCGTTTCATGGACCTCGTCCCCTTCAGTATTCCACACTACGCACTGAAAGACATCACTTTCCGGGGATACACAATTCCCAAGGTCTTGGTCCGAATCTATAAATATACAACAGTATTCCACTTCCTAAATGTTCCCTTGAAGTGACTGTTCTACGTCAACAGGATACAGTGATTATTCCCTTTTTGCACTCTGTGCTGAAAGATGAGAAGCAGTGGACAACCCCCTGGTCCTTCAACCCCCAGCACTTCCTGGACCAAACAGGAAACTTCAAGAAGAACCCAGCATTTCTGCCCTTTTCTGCTGGTAAATTCCAATACAGTAACTGTAACCTGAACCTTGTATTTGTTCCATGTTTTTCCCACTTCAGCTTTGCAGAACTCTCCATAAACTACCTTTACTGAATGTACATTTTTTGGTTTGTTATTTCTGCAACTTCACACCTTTTTTTTTCCCCTCACAGGAAAAAGAGCTTGTGTGGGCGAGTCTCTGGCTCGCATGGAGCTCTTCCTTTTCCTCGTGTCACTTTTGCAGCACTTCACCTTTTCTGTGCCTGGAGGTCCTGACAGCGTGGACCTCAGCCCTGAGTTCAGTGGCATTGGCAACTTGCCTCACCACTACAAAATCATTGCCACACCACGGAACTAAGGATTCGGGCTCTCTGCTTTACCCAAGTGTATAACCTGAAAGTAATTGACCCGTGTTGCTGTGTAAGTTCATTTTAACTTCTCTGTAAAAGGCGTTCTGCTACGACAGGAGTCCCTAAATAATAGGCCAGGGATTGGTATGTTGGTGTGCATGGTGTTTTATTTGAAAAATGATTACTTATGTCAGCTCCTTTTTTCATGCACCACAAAGCCTTCAAACTGACTTCAGTGAAAATGAGTAAAAACAAACGTTGCTCTTTACAAGAGGGAGGGGCTGAATGATGAGACAGAAGAACAAAAACTGCCACTAAAAAGAAAGCTGCATTTATTAGAAAAGAGCCAAAGTCCTGAAATATGAACGTACATTATAAATGTGATAATTAACTCCAAAGTTCTTCAGAGTGAGCCATCAGGCAGCAGTGGGTGGAAACAGACTCCGTGACTCTGTGTCAGAATCACAGTTGACAGTGACGCCAAGACAAGACAAAGTTAACACCAGTGTGGTCACAGGGTGAAGCACAGGTGTTTCTGAGACTTGATCCACACACTGTGAGCCATGGACACGCATTAATCAAAGATGAGCCACGTCATGTGACAGATGTCATGTACACGTACGTGTAAGGTTATGTTGGTCAATATTCATTCATTAACATTTTTAAAAAAGCTAGAATTGGACCAAAAGAAAAGGGTGAAAAAACAGTATTAGTATAAATTGTTTTCTGTCTTGTTATATATGTTGAAATATTCAGAAATATTGTATTATTGTTTATGTTTCAGTGTTGAGAAATACTATGTGATACAGTTTCATGAGCTAAAATTAAATTAAAGAAGAAGAAAATTACATCAAGCTGTTTATTAACTAAACTGTTAACCTCATGCTAAGGTGAAAGTTTTGCACGTAATAAGACGCTGTTTTTTTCTGTTTTACATCTTTTATCTTGACTCAAGTGGAAATACTAACTTTACTGCACAATAAAATGCAAAGGCAATCATCTTTTACTTACTTTATAATACTTATTATTGCAGTGTGACACAATTTCATTTTTTTGGCTTCTCCGTCTTATATGAACCTGCTGTTTTAGACTTCTCTGCATAGCGTTTGATGAGGAGCGTCACTAGTAATGTGATAAGTTGAAGGTCAGGCGATCCATCATGTGTGTGTGTGTCAGGCTGTAAGTGTTCGCACGCACGCTCAGTGTATCACTGCTCTGTGTCTGAGCAACATCCGTGTCAGTCTTTGAGGATCACTCTCAAAGACTGGGGCTGTAATATGTGAAGAACCAATCAAATTACTCTGCAGTGTCAGCTGTCATGGCAGGTTAAATTCTTTATAAGACACACTTCTGGCATGTTTGCCAAACTAGCACTGAAATCATATCTGTTTTATTCATATTGAAACCGCCAGTAAAATATACTTTATTTTTGTTTTGTTCTGTTATACTTATTTACTTAGTTAGTAGTCGACAGGATGGGTTGTTTTTTTTTTTTTTTTTTAAGCCGTTTCACCTCTTCATCCTTCTTCATCCTTCTTCAGCCGACGATCATAATTGAAGGCTCAACCCCAGGTTGTTAATTATTCAGGATCAATCTCTCTGTTCATAGACAGCCGTGTGATTTATGTCACAGCGATGACTTGAGGTGAACCCCACCGTCAAACCCCCTCCCACCTTCACTACATTTTCCATCGCAGTGTAGGCGAAGGTAAAGAACTTCTGCATATATATATAAATATATATGAGTGCTTCAACACTGGTAAAGGAGGAGCAGAGATACTGGCACACTAATGATTTTGAATTTAGAAAAGTCACATGTATTTATTTATTTATTTATTTACAAAAACACACTCGAAACAGTTTGTGGACGACTGATCGTTGATTAATTACGGCCCAGTATACAGCGTTAGACTGAATAGACATGCATAGGTACATGGTGTCTGGTTATATAGGTGATACATTAACAAGTTTTCAGTGAGGTTTCTTTGCTTTTTAACTTAACTCTACAGGTGACGTCTGATATGAGGCCAATAACACTGCCGGTGCTGATGGACACCTCTGGGTGATGATGGCACGCTGGTTAATCTAAATGGTTTTTATACATTAGTTAAAATGGAATTCCTCTGTTTTTTCACACATGAAGAACATACAGCAATATATGGAAATGGATTTTCACAAAACTTAACGAAAAAAAAAACCAACCTCTCAGCTCTGCAGACAAAACACTGTGTAGCAGTTTTCTGCATCATTAAATATTGGGCAGGTGATATTTATGCTTCACCTGTTTCTTCACATCCGGTGCTGGTGAGATGTTGCTGTGTGGTAACTGGGGCAGGTACTGTGCCTACAGGGGGAGACAGACACTAATAAAAAAAGAAAGAGGAGCCAAATTTGAACTTTTGTCAGACTTAGATCTCAGATATTAGCATTGCGCTGTTGTCGCCTGAACTGTAAACATAACGTTATAAGAGTTGTAAAGTTTAGAACACTGAGTTCCATATTCACCCCTGCTTGTCTCCGTCGGCAGACTTTGTCATGTCGTCTTCCTGGGCGCTCAATCTCGCGACCCCAGTTCGCTGCCTCGTCCTGGAAATACGGGAACGCCAGCAGCTCCTCACAGGACAACCGAAGTGAGGGGTCCATTACCAGACACGACTGCTCACACAAAGATATTGACATACAATATGTTTATGCTGTAATGCTCTGTCTTTGAATGTGCTATAATCATGTCATATTCACAGAATGTAACGAGTTACTGACAGACTCAACCACTTCTGTTTCTACTTACTTGAGACGCGATTATTTTATATATAAAAAACGTACCTTCATGACATGAAGAGCTTGAGGTGACACTCCATGAAAGCGCTTCTCCAACGGCTCCTAGAAGCAAGAAATAAATGGCTCTTTATAACCTCTCTATTGACCTTAAAGTCATTTGCAGTAGAATCCGTGTGTTGGTACCATTGTGTCAGGCTCAGGAATACTGACTCCACTGAAGAAAACATTCGAGCGGAACACCTGCTGATGACGAGGGATCAGGTCACCTGAGGTCAGAAGAAGAAGAAAATTAGAGTTCTTGTCAGAATTGGAAATAATGTCTCACAAGAGGATAAAAACATCTTTATAAATTGTTTAGAAAATCAGTATATTGCAAATAGGGGGCGAGACCCCCGGAGGGGCATGGTGAGGTGCCGGGGGGGCATGAAGGGCTTCCAATGTACCACAGCTGTAATACTTATATGATAACAAGCCTCCAGTCACTAGGTGGCAGCAACTCATACAGTCATTTGTACAGATAAAACATAAAAATGTTATGAGGCTCTTGTGATGGGGAGTCACAACAACAGTAAAACATACTGTGCCACTTGAAGAAGACCATGGCTGTGAGCTTTGCCGTATCAGCACTTTATTAAAATGTAAGAAAATGAAACCGTTTCATCTGTATGCCTACCATTCTTTTCCCTTCAGTCAGTTGTCAGCCTACCTAGAGTTTTTCTGATCAGGTAGAGCTGGTCCACATCAGATTTTCCAGGCCAGAGTGGATTTCCATTCAGCAGCTCAGCGAAGACACAGCCCAGTGCCCACACGTCCACAGGTGGTCCATACTGAGTGTCACCAACAAGCAGTTCCGGGGCTCGGTACCAGCGCGTGGCTACGTAGTCCGTGTAGTCGTCCTCTGGTCCGGCTGATCAAACCAGCACACAAACAGTCGGGTGGGTTTGTTTAGACACAGACCCACTTAGATGCTGAATAATGAACACTAAATAACACATACATTGTTGGGGAGGGGATTACAAGGCATGCTGACTGACTCTGTGGTAATGTATGGTAACGTAACACTGAAACCTAAAGCTGGAGGGTAAACAGAGACACGCTACACAGAGGGGGCGCTAACTGGCTGAATGCTCCTTCTATGTGATGCATTTATTGAAACGCTGAAGTGAGGAAGCTGTCAGCAGATGATCGAGGTTCCACGTTGAATAAGTCATTAGAGGCACGTTGACACTAAATGCTCATAAACACCTGGGCTTACTGGAACACTCACTCAGGATGCGTGCGAAGCCGAAGTCACAGAGCTTGATGACTCCAGTTTTGGTCAGGAGGATGTTCTCCGGCTTCACATCCCGGTGAATGCACTGGTAAATAAATAAAGACCACAAATTTTCACAAACGTCAGTTTGGATAGATGTTATCGTGGTGAGATTATAATTAGAAAATACGAGACAAGTCGAGGAAACAGTGATTTAGGTGTCAGATACTGACATTGTGCTTGTGGCAGAAGTTGACGGCCTGCAGTGTCTGCCACACTATACTCTTCAGCTGAGCCTCAGGAACTCTGCCGGGAGAAAGACACAAAGGAATAATGGTTGTCGTAAGAGAAGGCAAACAAAATACGTTTCCTCATCTATCATTTCAGTGATGTTAAAAGAAGAAGAAACCGTGCTTGCACAGTCCTTGCGTCGCCACGGTAACCTAAGGCCTGTCTCTTGACAGCAACAGGGCCTTTGTTTTCAGGAGCAGCTTGAGTTTCTGCTATTACAAACGCACAGCTGAGAAACAGAACTGGACTTTGACAGCTGTTTTTGATCTTGGTACGCACCTCTGACGCAGTATGTGACGATACATACAACATCAAACGCAAATGCAAGTCTTTTCTTGTGATCACAGGTTGCTTGAAACAACAGATGACTCTGCTGCCAAACATGTACTACTTCATTTGACTCTTATGTCTTAGTGTATCATGCACTATATATGTATTGTAACTAATTTCGTTCATCCCATGTCTAACATGTGTTGAAATGGCAATAAACACCTTGAACCTTGAACCTAAGAATAGCGAGGCTGTAGCTTCCACGCTCATATTTGAAAGGCATTGCATTGCCTGACAAATTTAGATTTCTGAGCCAATATCTGAATGATATGTTCACCCTAGAAAGGATTTGTGGACATGGAGGAGTGGTGGATTGGCATCACAACAATCTCTAAAAGAATGCTTTCTGGGTTCAGTTGAATCTATCAAATTACTGGCCAAAACTGGAGGCAGAATTTTTTTTTACCCTGCGGTAAAAACAAAACCAACTTGTGTTTATTCATGAAACCTCACCACACTGGTTAAGCTTTTACTCCCAGCCCAGACTGTTGGTCTAACACCCCTCTGACCTACCCTTGAGGGTGTTTGTCCAGCTCGTTGAGGACCGTCTGTTCACAGAACTCAAACACCAAGTGGAGACGCCTTTTCCTCCTGAACACCTCGAGCAGGTTGACCAGATTCACGTGTTTTAGTTGCTGTGTGAACAACAAGAGACAATAATGAAACGTCAGAGAAATAAGGCACGATAAATGTTAAATATTCTGACTTCTGTCTTTCAACAGGTATTTGCAGTTACTTTGTAAATGAGTTACTAAGTTACTGAGTAACAGCAACTAAATGACACAGTTGTAGCTGTGTGCTGACTGATATGGTGAGAAGTGAACCATAGACTGTACAGTATATAAGGACATTAAAGCTACTTTGTTTGGATGCAAATGTGAACCATAGACTGTACAGTATATAAGACATGGACATTAAAGCTACTTTATTTGGATGCAAACAGGGATGTTCAATATTAACTCTTTGCCAATATCCGATATGCCGATATTGTCCAAATACTTAATTTTCAATTTCGATATCAGCCGATACCGAAATAGGCCTGGTAATATTTATTTATCTGTACAAACCACTGTATGAGTATAAGATTACATGACATGACATTGCATTATCAGGTTTTCATTATCGGAGGATAAACCGATAACGATTCTTACAGATATTACATAACATGCTAATATCGGGCCGATAATAAACATAGGTGCAAAACAAGGTCTTGAAGCCTGAAGATATTCTTACTAATAATGTGATGAACCATAGGCCCACAGTTGTTACCTGGCCATGCTTTAATGTGTATTTTACTCTAAATGCAATTATATTTTTTAAATTAACGTCATTTTATAATGTAGAATATTCTTTTACTAGAAAGGAAACCAAATTGGGAGGCAGGGTTGGCTTCATATTCTGCCGTCAGTCTTCAATACTGACTGAAATGATAATGCAGTGACACTTACCTTCAGCATCCGTATTTCTCTCAGTGCTATCTTCTTGATGACCGGATCATCCTCTGACTCCACAAACTTCTTGATGGCTACTATCTGTCCGGTATCTCTGTGTTTGCACTTGAACACCACACCGTAGGAGCCCTCGCCAATTTTGGCCAGCTTTTCATACTTTTCCATCATGTAGTTTGTTGCCGTTTCCTATCAAAGGATGATAGCGGTGACAAAAACCGTGGAATGTAAATGGATCAGATAAATCAGTATACAGAGAAACACGATAGCCAATATGTGAAAGTATCTGCAAGCCGTTGGGTGGGATTAGTTGTACTTCAAGTTTAAAACAATTCATTATTTATTTAACATAGCAAAGCTTGTTGAAAGGGTTAAGGTACGAGACGACATGTTTTTTTCTGCTTTTTGGACTTTATTAAAAAACAAAAGGTTATTCCAACAACATTGATATTCTTACTGTAACAAATGTGCAAAATATTGTATTTTTCACACTGACACAACCAAAAAAAAAAAAAAAATGTCTTGCTTAGACCTGCCCAAAATAGGTCTTATTTAACAAAACCATGAAGAAATTGTATCTGCATTAGAATGAAAAGAAAATATTTTTTCACAAAGAAGCCAAAAAACAGGCAAGATATTTTATGTCATCAAAAAGAAATATTTCAACTTTAGACCCAAATAAGATTTTAGTGTCAAATGAAATTGACAATTTGAAGGTGCATTCCTGGTTGTTTATTTATGTGTGTGTTGCTGAGAGGAACACTCACCTGTCCAGAGGATCTTCATCCACAGGTCAGCTGTCAGTCTGCAGACAGCTCCACTTCAGGTTCCACAAACGTCCACAAAAGTGCATGTAGCTGCTCAAACAGTCATTTATTAATCTCAACACATCAGCAGAGTTTATCTGACAGAAGTATCACTAAGTGTGTCACACTGTAACAGCCGTTCTATTTGCTATTTAACCCAAGACTTGTCTTCTGGTGCGATGCCTGTCACTGTTCCACCTTCTTCACGTCAAAGACCTTCATTTTCACTCTTTGCCTTCCCGTCATTCTTAACCGTATGGACACAAACACAAAAGACGACGCCACGGTGTTTTATTCGTTACCTTGGAAACTGCGCAGGTGGGCAAGCTATGTACGCATATTCTTTAACCAGATTACGTACGTACGTTTCGCTTGATAGGCGGTAGTTCACCGCAGCGACCTCCAGTGGCTCTAAATAGAAGTAGAACACAGGATAACAAGTCGATGTAGCTTTATGCTAACTTCATTGGTGGAACTTACAAGTTCTAAGTGAGTAAAAACAACCACGATATTAATTTGGGCTACACATGTTTTTCATTATTTTCTGTGGGACTTTGAATATACGTGCGCTCACCTGTGTCCTGTGAGTCCCTGTTCGTTAGACTCACCTGGTGCTTCAGGTATGTATACACCTCTCTCCCACACACACTGTCTTTGTTGGGTCACTGTTGATGTACTGTATGTTGTCATTGCTGCTTGTTCCTGAATGTTCCTTGAATGGTTCTTGTGCTTCTTGTTTTTCCTCTTTGCTACTGCCTGATGCTGTTTTTCTGTAGGTGGATGTATTTAAGTTTGGTCTTGGTAAACAAACTTTTGACACCTGATCTGTGTTTTTTGAGTGCTGCACTTGGGTCCTGGATGTTCTTCCAGGGGCAGTGGTTGCCGTTTCCTATCAAAGGATGATAGCGGTGACAAAAACCGTGGAATGTAAATGGATCAGATAAATCAGTATACAGAGAAACACGATAGCCAATATGTGAAAGTATCTGCAAGCCGTTGGGTGGGATTAGTTGTACTTCAAGTTTAAAACAATTCATTATTTATTTAACATAGCAAAGCTTGTTGAAAGGGTTAAGGTACGAGACGACATGTTTTTTTCTGCTTTTTGGACTTTATTAAAAAACAAAAGGTTATTCCAACAACATTGATATTCTTACTGTAACAAATGTGCAAAATATTGTATTTTTCACACTGACACAACCAAAAAAAAAAAAAAAAAATGTCTTGCTTAGACCTGCCCAAAATAGGTCTTATTTAACAAAACCATGAAGAAATTGTATCTGCATTAGAATGAAAAGAAAATATTTTTTCACAAAGAAGCCAAAAAACAGGCAAGATATTTTATGTCATCAAAAAGAAATATTTCAACTTTAGACCCAAATAAGATTTTAGTGTCAAATGAAATTGACAATTTGAAGGTGCATTCCTGGTTGTTTATTTATGTGTGTGTTGCTGAGAGGAACACTCACCTGTCCAGAGGATCTTCATCCACAGGTCAGCTGTCAGTCTGCAGACAGCTCCACTTCAGGTTCCACAAACGTCCACAAAAGTGCATGTAGCTGCTCAAACAGTCATTTATTAATCTCAACACATCAGCAGAGTTTATCTGACAGAAGTATCACTAAGTGTGTCACACTGTAACAGCCGTTCTATTTGCTATTTAACCCAAGACTTGTCTTCTGGTGCGATGCCTGTCACTGTTCCACCTTCTTCACGTCAAAGACCTTCATTTTCACTCTTTGCCTTCCCGTCATTCTTAACCGTATGGACACAAACACAAAAGACGACGCCACGGTGTTTTATTCGTTACCTTGGAAACTGCGCAGGTGGGCAAGCTATGTACGCATATTCTTTAACCAGATTACGTACGTACGTTTCGCTTGATAGGCGGTAGTTCACCGCAGCGACCTCCAGTGGCTCTAAATAGAAGTAGAACACAGGATAACAAGTCGATGTAGCTTTATGCTAACTTCATTGGTGGAACTTACAAGTTCTAAGTGAGTAAAAACAACCACGATATTAATTTGGGCTACACATGTTTTTCATTATTTTCTGTGGGACTTTGAATATACGTGCGCTCACCTGTGTCCTGTGAGTCCCTGTTCGTTAGACTCACCTGGTGCTTCAGGTATGTATACACCTCTCTCCCACACACACTGTCTTTGTTGGGTCACTGTTGATGTACTGTATGTTGTCATTGCTGCTTGTTCCTGAATGTTCCTTGAATGGTTCTTGTGCTTCTTGTTTTTCCTCTTTGCTACTGCCTGATGCTGTTTTTCTGTAGGTGGATGTATTTAAGTTTGGTCTTGGTAAACAAACTTTTGACACCTGATCTGTGTTTTTTGAGTGCTGCACTTGGGTCCTGGATGTTCTTCCAGGGGCAGTGGTGGCTAAGTGGTTCAGGCTTCAGGTTTGGGTCCACCAGCTGCCAAGTCACTGCTGAGGTGCTCTGAGCATGGCACCATCTCCCCTCACTGCTGCCCACTGTTCACTTTGGTGATGGGTTAAAAGCAGAGGTCACATTTTGTGGTGTGCTGTGTCACAATGACAAGTAGTTCACTTTCCTTTCCTTTTCTTTCCTTGTAATTTGTATGTGACAAAAAGTGTTTTTTCTAAATAGTTGTAAAATCCCTTGGGTTTTTTCCCCGCAGGTATTTCCTGCAGTAAATGAGAGGATTTTCTTTATTTTTCCCCACTGCTGTTAACACACTGATGACTTATACATTATGTCAGGTTCTATGGAAACAACCTGAAATATGTTCATTTCTGAGCATTTGGCAAATAAATCATCTGATCAAATAGTATTGGAAAGTACTGTTGGAATCAAATTGCAGGAAAGTAACTGAAAATAAAGTACCTGGAGAATCCCGTCACCTCACCACACTTATGAATTGTAAACAGGCTGCTGTGATGAGGTGACGTGACTTACCGTCTCTCTGTTCTCTCTGTTGACTGTGAGTAATTTTTCTCCCCCCAGTGACTGATGTGGTTTCGTATAATAACATCCATTCAAGATTCTCACAGAGAGGACTTCACCAGGAATGATGGGAAAGCAGAGCCATGTTGCACTCATGTGCTCAGAGACACACCGACACCTTGGGGCTCTGGCATCGAGAGTTTGTGGTCAAGGGTATGAAATGCCACATGACAGACAGGTAAGATGTGTTGGGTCAGTGGGGCACCAGAGCTGATGTGTTAAGAAGTTGATACAAAAAAGGTTGATTATAGAAGGGTAGGATTTATAAATAAGTTGGCTTTTTTTAGGGTCCAATATTATATATTTTAAGATGAACATACCCACTCCACACCACACTGGTGTTGGAAAAAATGCATGTTTTCCAACTGGGTCACAATCATATATATATATATATATATATATAGTTATAGTTGCTCTAATACACAGTTGATACAACAATTATTATAATAAAATAACATGCAACATTTGTTTTCAATTAATCACGATTCATTATGATTAATCCACAACTACAATTTTTAATATTATATATGAATCCTTATTTGTATCTCTAGATGAAGTTTTGTTTTGTACTTTACACCGTCTACTTGTGGGAACGGTGTACCATTTCTGACCATCAGGTGGCAGTGCGCAACCATGGAAGCTCCCCCTTCTCTGTTCATAGATACAGTCACGGTGATAGTTGATGACATGAAATAACAACCGTCATTTGTTTTCCGTATCATATCATCGCTGTCGTGTCAGTGGGGAAGAACAGCTGTCTCTGTGAGACCAACGTCTCTGTTGGTCTCACAGGGGATTTTTGTCTTCAGTTTCCTTGTGATAAACGTCACTTTCTGTTGCTGCTTTTGATTAATAGCTCATTCTTCTTAACTTTCCCTGACAAAAGTCAACTCATTTACACAGAACATAAAAACCCCAGGACTACAATGACAATTAACTCTTTTTTTTTATTTCCGTGTTGAATCATCCGTCACACAGGGAAGAGATGATTGAAACCATCACCGGGTTTGTTTTAGTCTGACCTTCCTTTTGAAAATATACAATCCAACCCTTAAAAAGCAGCCAGACCTTGGAGAGTGCATGACACAGCCCTGCCCTGTTGGCTCTCCGTCCCTTCAAAATCACCAGTCTACTTTTAGACCAGCCTGTGCTTCAGTTCTCTGGCCTGGCAGACTTTCACCTTCACAGCCTCCAGGTAAATGTGGCCATCAGCTGGCCAGACACTAGCTGCCATGCAAGACTTGTTGACATTGTCAGTCATCGCAGCCTCGAGCTGAGAAGTGCCAGAGGAGTGTGAGTGCCTCTAAAGTCACTAATTCAGCACGTTCAACTCCTGGCTTCCTGATGTGGACGAGTGGCAGCCAGCAGAGCTCTGTTAAACAGCAGATGTTTTACACTGTGGCCGTTACCCTCATTTCCTGGGCGGAGAGCTCTGCGCTGTATTAGACTAGTAACAGGAACCAGAAAAAAAGAGGCAGAGTTAGAGGGAGAGTGAGAGAAAGAGGCAGAGCACAGGGAGCACAGGAGAAAAGTTAGCTGAGCTTTGAGCCACCACAAATCATTTGCTGTCACCAGCAAGCTCTGACAAGTACTAGAAAAGAGGGAGTGCATGTGTTGAACGGCGGAGGTGTGAATAGGGAGTTGTGTCAAAGGAGACGCAACAAGAGAGGTGTAAAAGATCTGTGGAGGGCAAAAGAAACGAGGTGATACCGATAGATGGATAGAAGAAGAGAGTGGACACAGATGAGGCTGCAATCTGATTCCTCAAACAGAGCCAACTGAGAGACTGTTGCTGCTGCTGCTGCTGCTGCTGGATGTTCTGGTCATTTAAAGGGAAGGTTTGTCAAGCTTGATTATACTTTGTAACGGGAGCCTCAGAGCATGTTCTAACGTATTACAGCGTTGGAAAATGAAGACACACATATAGAATGACAGCTGCTGTGTCTGTCTGTCTGTCTGTCTGTGAAGCAGGCATGAGCTGGAGGCACTGAGAGCTACTTATGGTGAAGTGCAGCCGTAGACCGATCACATGCTGTTACTGCTGAAAAAAAGAAAAAAAAAGAGGTAGTCACAGTGTGGGGGAGACAACTTTGTCATTTTCTCATTTTTGATTTAGTTAAACGCGCCTGAGAACCTCAGGCTGTTTTTTTGGCCGAGTACAAAACTGACAGAGACCTTAACGTACTTTAACGTCGTTCTCTGTGGATGCTCGATCAGCACAGATCTGATTTAAAGCCCCAGAGAGTTTGATCTAGACTGCAGAGGAAGCCGGAGGTCATCTGATCAAACCCAGGCAGCAGAGAACTTACCAGAAAGGCTGTTTAGGGCAATTACTGTCTCATTACTGAGTTGACATTACATCCATGTGTAAGATATTGGTGAAACTTCTATAAAGTGACACTGTAGGTCAAAGAGGACAGGAAACTGTGTGGGCTGAGGAGCCCTTGTTTTAGATATTGAGTTGTGACAACACCGTGTTTCAGTTCATTAAACGCTGCTTTTTGTTTCTTTTTGGAAATGTAAAAACAATAGACTTGGTTTTATAAAGTTATCGCAGAACTGTCACATGGAGAGGGGACTCTGGACGACAGGAGCGTTCGAGGCGTAGAGGTTCATGGTTCATGCTTGGATGGTCTCTGTTGGCATTTGACAGCTTCACCGTGGACTCACTGTAGTGTCTGAGACGTCATAGGGTTACCTATGTAGCTGAGTCAGAGGTTGGCTCATCACTCAGTGTCAGTCTGCCCAGCACTGGGATTCTCTCCACCTGTTTTCTTGCAAACAAGTCACGGGCGTTCTGTGGTTTTCACAGCAGTGTCCCTGAAGTTTCAGGACTCTTCACACTGCTTTAGTTGTCCCTCTGAGTGTTAACACCACTGCTCCACGCTCGAGTGATTCACTGTTCCCTACACATCGGCAGCAGCCGCCGAAAGAGAGAAAGAAGAAAGGAAGGACTTGCCAAGAACCAAAGTGTGTCAGTGGTGACAGTCCGATCGACAGGCACCATGAAGCTCGCGCTGTTGATGCTTACGGTGGTGTACATGGTGGGCAGTGTGAGCAGCATGTCCACATGTAAGACTGTAGACCTGGAGATGGTGAAGAAGAAGCGGATCGAAGCCATCAGGAGCCAGATCCTCAGCAAGCTGCGTCTTCCCAAGGAGCCGGAGGAGGATCAGGCTGGAGACCAGGAGGCGATCCCTTTGACTCTGCTCTCCCTCTACAACAGCACCAAGGAGATGTTGAAGGAGCAGCAGACGGGGGCCCAGACGGTCATCTCCACAGAGCAGGAGGAGGAGGAGTACTTCGCCAAGGTCCTGCACAAGTTCAACATGACCAGTAAGTATCACAAAACCTACACAATATACAACAACTGTTAAGAATAGAGGCAAGTACTGATAGAACTGAGACTGACAGGTAATAGAAGGACTTTATTTCCACTTCAATGAATTTTATATTTACACCAAGGTGGAAAAATAGAAAGAAACTTTATTCATTGCAATATATATATAAATACATACAAAACCCATTGCACTCCTAAATATTGGATTCTCTAAAACAACATCAAATGTGTGTATTAATGACCACCTTCATGTAGCCTCACACAGTCAACAGTAAAAAGTGCTTCCCTTGTTTCTGTAGTAATGCTGTATTCATGTACTACCTGCATTATAGTAAATATGAGTTTCCAACATTAAAAACTCACCAGAACGAACCCTTCCATGACTTTAAACTCAGGAGTCTGAAGATGGATTTAGAGATAGAGAGAAGAGATGTATATCCAATTTGTCATCTCACTAAATTTAGTCACAGTGGGTCGTTTTAATAAGATCCTTATTGGACATATCCTCAGCAATGAAATATTTCCATATTCACCCATTGTTTAACAGTAACTGTGAGCTATTCTACTCATGTTTTAATGAGAAAAATCTTTATAAATAGATACACATCTAATTTATATCTGTCTTTAAAATATGACAGCAACTTCTCATTGGATTTTACAACTAAATTAAATTTCAATTTCACTTTGGGGAAAACTTGCAAACTGTGGTAGCTGCTGACATCGCTGTGACTTTTTATTATTTCATAGGATATAATACGAACATTTCTTTTTTCTCCCTTCGTCTTTGAAGAACACGGCCGTTGCAGCCACAACCCTAATTAATCATCATTTGCTCAATAACTTTCGTAAACTCCAATCTCATCCATAAATTCCCAGAACATGTGCAATCCTTCTGATCTCCACCCAACATCTCCAGGCAGAAGAAGAAGTTCAGAGAGCACAGAAGTTATAAGTTAGCAGGACTGTGGGTTTCATCTGTTCTTCAGCCTTACGTTAACTTTCATGGCATCCACAGCTTTTTTACTGCGTTTTTATTGCTGTTTGTTTGGCCGGCCTGCTCGGGCTGTTCTCTCAGCCAAATGGTTCGTGGCTATAATTTAGCAACGACTCCAAAGTTATTAAGATAAACCTCGTCTTTTGTTGTTGTTTTGTGTCTTTGCTCCATTGTTCTCTACATGCCTGTACTCCTCACCCTATCAGGCAGGCATCCACACTATCCCTCCTTCACCCCCCACACACTTCAAAAGAAAGACTTTAGTGGATGGACCACGCTGTGGAGCCCGAAACAGAGAACAAAGCATCTGTTAGAACGAAGGGGCATGATTTTGTTCTGCTTAGATGCAAACTAAACAAGTGGAGGGGAAATAGAAAAAAAAACCGAGATTAAAGGAGACATGAGATGTTCTCCCTTATCTTCACCCTCATCTCCTCTTATTTTCTCTCTCTCTGAGGGACTTGTCTCTGCTTTACTTCTTCTGTCACCTGTTCTCCATCATATTTTTCTGTTTCGATTGGAGCATTTTGTCATCTATTATTTATGTCTTCTCTCCATGATAACCCATCCCTCCCTCCCTCCCTCCCTCGCTCTCTCCTCTTTTCATGCCTCTCTCCGTGCTGTTTCCTGAGCCTATTATCAGTGTGTTTGCAGTGTGTTTGTGACAGGGCAGCTAAGCAGGAAGGAAATCGGGCCGATGGCCACTGAGATCTTGAGTGACTCAGGTCCGGTGTAAGCGGTGCCCATGGGGAGCAATGTGTTTCCTACCTCAGTAGAATGCCAGAGTTCAGTGCTCTGCAGCCTTCGTTCTAACTGTTGCTCTTAAAAAACAAAGCCAACCCGCCGCAGCTAATGCCAAGTGTAGATGCAGTTTTTTTGTTAAAATAAAGGGATTCTGGGAAGTGGGAGAAGTTGTAATGATATTTAATTGATGATTTAACTCATGAACGTTTTCTTACACATCCTTCAGCAATTCTGTTTAGTTTGGCTCGTCTCACTGCACAACAAACTATCCTGATATTGCAAAACAAGCCACAGTGACGTGAAGATTTGCACAGAGTATTTTATAGCCTAATAGCTTAAATACCCAGTGTGGTTATAATGTGGTGGATGAGGCTGGATTCCTCCTGTCAGTTAGCAGAAACACCCTTCCTTAAGCCCACACAGATTGACCTATTGTGTTTAATACGGTCCAAATGTTGCTACGCTCAGCCTTTTTCAGGAACCAACCACCTCCTTCTGTTAAAGTTAAACAAGGCCACAACAGTAGAATATTTATCATAGTCGGTGTAAACGATCTATCTGCCAACCCCTCGACGATGGGGTAAAGCTGTGATGGGGTCAGAAGCTTCACGTGTAAAATAGGGTGAGGTGGGGAAACGAGCCACGGATGAGTGGGATGTAGAAAGGTGGATGCGATTATATGAAGGAGGCAGGTATTTAGGCTGTTGCTGGAATCTGGTTCCTCCCACAGGTAATTACAGGGCTGCCTCCCTACCTGTTACAACAGCTGTCCTGTGGATAGGACACAAATCCCCCCCCACACCCATGTTAAGGTGCCAGCTAAGGTGCTACCTTGAGGGAGATCTTTCTGAGCAGATTATGGAGTTTACACTCACAGCAGCTTCAAAAACAAACTACAAACGTTTTTTTCCCCAGTGCATCACAATCTCAATAAAACATTTATATGTTGACATTTTTGTTGACTAGTAGGGCTGTTAAAATAACCACATTAACCACAATAAATAATTGTTGAGGACAACGTCTTCCACAGAGTTATGAAAGAAATTCTCGACATGTTTTTCCAGATGTGCAGTAAAGACTTTGTTCACCCAACTCTAAAAAGCAACATTTTGAGTTAGCTTCATGTATATTTGTCTGGACATTTTACTGTATTGATAAATTTACAATTTAGACGATTGACAAATGAAAACGCGTGTGAAACACACACACACACACATACCTGCTGTTATTTGTTTTCTGAAACAGCAATATAGCAGATTTCTTTTGTGTCATGTTTGAGAATGAAAATAATCTTCATTAAGCATGATCAATGACAACCACACTGTGATTAATCACATTTGAATCATTTGACAGCCACTAAAATCGTTGTACCATAACTCATGATCCATTAAACACGTGATGGTTAATACAACTATATGGACCAGAAAAATATCACCACGATGTTATCAATTATTTTTACCAAATTACCTGAAACACACCCTGGTCCTGTTTTTTTAAAGCTAAATCTTGGTCTCCAGATAATCTTAAATTGATTCAAACAGAAGAATAATTGAGTATTCTGGTGTCATTCGAGGAGTGGACGATGTATCCATTGTATAATTCATTATAAAAATGATATGAGTCATTTTCCAGTAAAGTACTGACAAAACAATGACTTAAACAGAAGACATTTAATTTGTGGATTGACCCAGAAAAAGCCAGACCTAAATACAATCATGAAAATGTGACGGCGTGGAAAAAAGAGTGGGCACCGATTATGGCCTTCAAAATGTTCTCTGTGAATTTGTTACAGCTTTTGAAATTCAAATAACATTCAATAAGATTAGAAAAGAGAAGAAGAAGAAAATAAAATTAATAATTTGTTTATACAGAATTATGACTATTCCTCTGGCATTGTTAATTTATTTTAATATTAATTTTTTTCTCCCTTGAAAATGTTTCACTTTGTTAGACTTCTTCAAGTTGTACTGTTGTCAAAAATTTAACAAGCTAAATTTAATTTAATGGAATATTGTTAAACAGCAAATCAGGCATTTTACCTGAATGTATAATCTTATAGGTTTGTTTTAACTAAGTGAAGTAAAATTGAAGCATATTTAAGTCATATTTGCTAATGCTAAAGTGCTTTTAAGGGGAAGTGATTCAATTTCCTGTTTCATAAACACTCCTATGACCTTTAACACATTTTACTCAATTTACCAAAACTAGCCAAGGTTAGAGGTTTGCTGTGCGGGGTAGTGAACGCAGTGCCTTAAACTCAACACCTTCCACCTTCTCTGCATGGTTGTGACACTGTGTATTTCCATTGGTGATCATAAAAGCAAACATTTGACTCTGCTTTGGGTGGGACCACTAAATGTCATCTCATTTCCCTTTGCACTCAGCACCACCTCTTTTCACTTTCAGTTTGGCCTCAATACTAGGGCTGAAACACTAGCTGTGCAGAAGAACAACCACAGATGGTGATGTAAATAATACGCATACACAGGCCTGTGGTGAAGGATCCTGGTACAGTGTGGATCAACTACGCAACACAAGTATGTGAGGCCAGATAGTAGCTGCTGTCCAGAGGCAGTTCCTGGATCTGACAGAAGAACGTTGTGGTTCTGGCTGGCAGACACACGCACAGTAGATTCAAACTGTTTAGGCTAGGGTCAGACCCCGGTCTCCAAAAGTCCAATACCCCTTCACTCCCACTCTAACGCCTCACCTCAGTGAATTATAGTCACTGGAGTGTATTCTTCACTTTACTCTTTTATTTGCATTGACCCTGTCATACCACCCTCATGTACTCCACATTCCCTCTCTTTACTGCGTTTTCCTTTCCTTCATCTGAGCTTATCTTTGCACGTCTCAATGAAATGCGCTGGCTAAAGATTTATGGCGTTACAGCCTTCGGTAGCCGTGTTCTGTTTTCTGTCAAACTCTGCGTGGAGAATGTTCTCGCTGCCATCCTGAAAGATAAACGATTGATGTTTACGCAGAGCTAGAAACACCGATATAAAGTAATCAAAAAAAGATTTGGATGGAGTAGTATTATGAGAGATTTATAAGCCAAACCAACCTGGCACCTGGTACTGTGCCAAGTACTGTTTCCCAAAGACTGGGTCCCGACCCTCAGGTGGGTCACAAGAGATTTTTTGGGGGGTCGTCTTACATCATGTTTCCCAGGAGTTTATGAATAATGTCTATTGACTTGGGTCGTGAAGGTTTGTGACTTTTAAAATATGGGGCCCCAGAAAAAAGGTTTGGGAAACACTGCTGTAAACTGCCTGAATAAAACCTGTATGTCAACTGTACAAAGATACATTTGGTGTGTACAAAAACACCATCATTATTTTGTATTTTTTTTTTTAAATAAATAATAATTTCTCAACATTTAATTAAACCTGTAGAAACATTATTCTTATTTTTACATCATTGCGTTTTGGTTACTGTAGTAGGATGTATAAGTTACAGTTGATGTTATTCAGATTGTATAAGAATGTCGTTAACCCTTTATGTACTGACAGCCTTTTTATGACTAGGATATGTTGATTATAAATACTGATTAAAAAAGCTGGGTAATTTTGACATTTAATATGAATAAATCAAATGTCTCTTTATAGATACAGGTACAGACATGAAGGACAAGAAAAGCATCGAATTCCTCTTCAACCTCTCTAATATAAGGCAAAGTGTTGGGGATTACCACCTGCTGACCAGAGCCGAGCTGCGGTTGCTTATCAAGACACCGAACATAGCGACAAAGCAGCGGGTTGAGCTCTACACGGGCCTGGGATCCTCACCCGAGTACCTCACTACTCGCTTCATCACTACTAATCTGAAGGACAAGTGGCTATCTTTTGATGTGACTGAGACCCTGCAGAACTGGCTCAAAGGGAATGGTGGGTATCAGTTGACAACAGCAGGTTGATGATGGTGATCTTGGTCCAGTACCAATCCGATATTCTTCTCACTCAACAGAGACCGAGCAGGGTTTCCAGCTCTGGGTCTTCTGTGGTTGCAACAACGACCCAAGTATGGAAAACACGTTCAAGTTTTCTATCTCTGGGGTCTCTTTTGGGAGGGGAGACACACAGACGCTTGAGGCGTTGACGAAACAACCACCATATATCCTGACCATGTCCATTCCTCAAAACGTCAGCAGCCACATCACCTCCCGCAAAAAACGGGCCACAGATGGGAAAGCAGATACATGTACTACGTAAGAAACACCATCATTTTTCCAATTTTATATATATACATGTATACACACACACACACATATATATATACTGTACCGCCTTCTTCAGCATCTCCAATGATCCTAGAGACTCCTCCCTCTCCTCACCCTATCTCCTTATCTTTTCCTGCGCAGCCAGACGGAGACCTGCTGTGTGCGAAGCTTGTACATCAATTTCCGGAAAGACCTGGGCTGGAAGTGGATACACGAACCGACGGGCTACCACGCCAACTACTGCATGGGCTCCTGCACCTACATCTGGAACGCAGAAAACAAATATTCTCAGGTGTGGTGCCGTGCCTTAAGTGTTGAATACAATCACAGTATGCATCGTCGTTTTAGCACATACAGTACAAGAGGTTATACTTACCAATGTCAATAACGGCTTGCCCTTGTCCCGATGATACTGTACTGTACTGTGCTGTTAATTACCCGGTGTTGTTGAAAAAAATACCATAATGACTCAATGAGATAATGGAGCCGGAATGTTGTTAAACTCCTGCACCTCGTTACAGAGACGGAAGAAAAATGTTAGAACAGTAACAAGAAAATGACAAGACGCTGTGGTGTGGAGGGATTTTCATCATGAAAACAAACGATTCCATCATTCAATATCAGTCGACTAGTTATAGATATGCACAGTGGTCTGTTCTTATGCAAGTATTTCCTCATTTCTTTAGCATTTGAGGTGAGAAAGCAACACGTGGCCATCTGATTGATCTTAGTCCCAGTTGAATTGGTAATCAATAATCCAACCATATCCACTTACAGTTCACCAAGCAAAAACTTGCCCTTTACAGCCCCTATAGAGTCGGTGACACGGCAGAACTTCTCTGCATCTGTGGCGTATTTTCTTTTTCCCCATGAAAAATTCCAATGGTTTTCCCGTGAGTATTGGATGTTTGGTTTCTAGATGCCGCATTAGATTTGAAGGCTACAGCGCTTGTATTAGACTCCACTCCAAACACTGGCTTCTTTGAACTTGCGATTATACTTGTTCAAAAATGCAGCCTTTTGTGTGGGTTTGGCAAATCTTTCTCATTTTTACCACTTTTACTAGAAACAAATGCCCGTTTATTATCTTTGTGCTTTTAAACTGCTGCTCAGTGGTGGGAAACTGATTTATAACATGGATAACAGTGATATCTCTGTTGTCCTAAATTGATGAGCAATGTGGCCCTCGTGGCGTAACTGAATATTTTTTTACCCTTTTGGTGGCACTCATGGCTCAAACATGGGCCACGGTCCGATGGTTGAAAACTGATCTAATCAACTGTATTAGGCAAAACTGAACTTAACCAGACCAATCACTGGATTAGAATGACATTAAAAATATGTTCCTCATGGACCTCTGCAGCTTTCAACTGTGCACAAATGTAATTGTGTCTACAAAAAAAAAATCACATCCCAAATGGAGTTAATGTTGAATTTTTTTGTTTTTTTTTCATTCGCAGTCCAACCTCATTGGATTAATTATACACAACACTGGTCTAGCTTATTCCTGGATTTATTCTCCCTTATCTGTTCCAGATCTTTTGGCTTGTATCATATCGGCAATTAAACTGTGATCTAACATTCTGTTTTCCTGTTTTTCATCACGTTAATGGTTTACAGATTTTGGCTCTGTATAAGCATCACAACCCAGGAGCCTCTGCCCAGCCCTGCTGTGTTCCCCAGGCACTGGAACCACTGGCAATCATATACTATGTCGGCAGGCAGCACAAGGTACCTACAGTGTTCTGTCCTGCAGCCAAGTAACCCTTCTTATGAGGTGAAATTTTTTTCTCACTTAAATATTAATAACGCTGTTATTTTATCACGTCATTTCAGGTGGAGCAACTGTCCAATATGAGCGTAACGTCCTGCAAGTGTAGCTAAAGAAAAAAAAGGGAAAGAAAAACAGTCTCCTGTGTGAGAAGACGTTTGAGATCACACAAAAGAACGCTACGACGGCCAATGGAAACTGTGGACGAGGACGAGGAAATAATTGTTGTGGTCATGCGCTCCACCTGTGAGCTACGCCATTATCACATTGGAAGTGCATCTCTCCATGAACTGCTTTACATAGATATAGAAAATGTTTTTATGTGTATATATTCTATTTTCCGTTGCAGTAGCAAAATTGTCAGTCTGGAAAATCATTAATTTATTTGTTGGTTGGACAGATCTGAGAAAGTTGTGGCTTGAAAACAACAACAACAACAAAAGACAGATGGACCAAAACGACCTTGGAGGAAGACCGTGTGTCCTCATTGGTCTGCTGACTGGTGCTTGCTGTCTCATCTCCCTAAAGAGGTCACTGATAACAGTGTAAGTCCCAGGCATAGAAAACAACGTGGTTGGGGTTTTCCTGGACAGAACTGCAGCAGGTGTTTTATGCAGTAAATTCCACTGTTAAAGGATGAGAGACAGGGATCACAGGGACAGTCCAACTTAGGGAAACTCCCTCTGACTGAGAGGCCGCAACGGTGTTTCACAGAAGCCGTCCGTCACTTTTATGTGTTTGCTTTAGCAACCCACGTGATTTTTACATCGCTTTTTTTTTTTTTTTTTTTTGTCCCTGATTTTGCGTTCATGACTGAATGTCTGCTTGTCCTCGGGCTGTCAGAGACACCGGTAACATTACTGGTTGTGTGAGTGATGAGACCATGTTTTCCCCCTGCAGGGATTTACAGCCAGTGTGTTGTCTTTAGATGGTGAGGGTTGGGGTGTGTGGTTGTGGTGGTGGTTTTTTGACTTAATCCTCAGTTGGGTCTCTTACAGCTGCAGTAAATGAAATGGCAGCCTTCAACTGAAAGGACAGGTATGAAATCTGAAGTATGATGCTTTTTGCACAATTCAGTGTCTTTTGTTTATTTTTTTAAAAAACAATTTCTTTGGTTTACTGTCTTTTACAGTGCACTTACTCTTTGGAATTTGTAATTGTAAATATGTTTTTTTTTTATTGAAATAAACATGGATGTTAAATTATGCCACCAGAGGGTAAGGTTTTTTTTAAGTGAAATCCAAAACCAGATGCAGCGTTTCCACTTGTCAGAGCAGGAAGCCTGGTGTGAGTGTGAATCCATTGCACTTGTCAGTGCATGTATGTGTATGGGTTTTCATTACCGTAAAGGGAGAGAACATTTTTATCAAATGAGCAAAACACACACACACACACGCACACAAAAATGGAAGGTTTACTTTGTTTGTTTTAGACATGTTGGCATCTTCCAAACTAAAATATATCCAGGCAACTTTCAACTAACCTGTGGAGTAAATGTCTGGAGCTCCACATTCGTGTACACACCTGCTCACATCCCTAGCATTTTTAGTGGAAACTAGAGAAGCTCATTATAACATTGACATCAATGTCCCTGAAATACACCAATGTCAAATGTAATAAATTGCTGTGTTTTTTTTTCCTTTTTTAAAGAAAACATAACTTGTGTTCTTCTTCAAACCACATGTAACACATGTAATGACAGGAATATGTTTCACACTAAAATAAGGGACGAGGCCCACGTTGGTTGCTGGATAGCAAACAATAACAGTAATAATAATGTAACAGTGTATTTTGTTTTGTATCTCCTATATTACTACTACTCCTTATATTTTAAACAATTGACATTGAGCAACTTAACCAGCAGTAGAAGTCATTGAAAGTCCCAGTCTATCCATCCATCCATCCATCCATCCATCCATCCATCCATCTATCCATCTAGTTGGACAAACCAAGTGGCTGAGAATGCACCCAAATGCTTCTCATCTTTATTGTCTTTCATTATGGTTCAGCATGCACATATACTCCTTACAGCAAATCCGTTAATCCTTGCCTGTGCAATTAGAAAAGCCCAAAGTCAGAAAGAAGAGTGCTCTACCAGTGGAAAAGTGTGGGCGTGCGCCAGGTGTGTGTGGTCTATTTCTGGGCACCCCTGTTTACTCTGGACCACTGTAGCTGAGCAGAAGAGCAGCCAGCTCTGCCTCGTTGAACCGGCGCCAGGATTCCCCCAAACATTGCCCCATTCTTGGCACCTGAAGCGATGCACACCTTACCAACTTTTCTTTTTTACTATCTTCATGGGCCTCGTCCTCCCCCACCCTGCCGGCCCCACCCCTCTCCCTGCAGTACTCAAGGGATTACTGGCAGCCCACGAGGCTGAATTGGGAATGAGGGGAGCAGGTCCAGGCCCGTTGGTAAGTCCCAGACTTAAGGGCAGTGACTCCATGGAAAATTAAACACACATACACATGCACATGAAAACACTGAACCCACTGACACACACAGCCGAGGCTTGCACATCAACGTCAAATGCCTTACATAAGCTTTGTGTGAGCAAGCGGTGTGGGGGGATGATGGTGCTGCGAACAAGGTGACAGTGATCTGTGCTGTCTTGTTGCAATGCTCATTGTCCTACCCAGGGTTCTTTGTGGAAAGCAAAGGAATTCTCCCGCTGCAAGCCGACGCAGAGACCACTTGTTTGGTAGTGGTTTCTCATAAACAAAGCAAAATGAAACATAATCTGCATAATTAACTCCCTGGCTTTTCTCTGAGGGATCCAGTTTGACGTGTTGCCAGGTCTTGACTCGTAATGATGCTTAGGCAGAATGTGCGCTATTTTAAAGGTTCCTTTGTAATGTAATTGGACTGCTGAAAGGCTTTTTCCTCTGCGAAAAAACATGACTATTACCGATTCCCAACAAGCAAAAACATGGGGTTCGTTAGAGACACGGTCATTAAAATTCGATTGTGAATACTGCTGGTGCTTCCACCTGTTTTACTTTCCCCATAATGACCAAAGAAAACCCGTGGATGTCAAGAGGGTCATAAATCTCTCACGGTGTTAATGGAACAGTCCCAGAGGGAAGACAAACTCAAGTAGGCTTGTCCTTCTACCCGATGTTCACTTCTCAGCAGATGCTTCCTCTCAAGGCCTCGGGCTTTTTATGGGATCTAGACAAACTGCTGACACCTCCTGCTGTACGGACTAGAGCACATCCCAGAAACACACAGTCAGGGGAAAAAGTGGAGTGGGGTTGGCTTAAATTCACGATGCCTAAATGTTACTCCAGAGACAAGAGCGAAAACCGATGCCTGCAGCATTTCAGGGCTGAGCAGGTGTTCTTTTACCGCTAACACGCTCCACGTGCTGACTTTATAAGATGCTGTGAGTAACCAGAAAATTGTTGTGTTGTTGCACTGTATCAAAGTGAATGTCATTCGATTTGAGCATTCAGTAATTGGCCCTTTAATTGCTGACACGTGTTTCATTTTAATGTTCGTGTCTTCGGAAAAAACACGCCTCCAACTGTTTCCTCTCTGTCAACATTGAAGCCAATGCTGCTGACTGATTCACCACAACACGGGCCGTGAATTGTTAGTTTGGGTTCTGTTTTATTACAACATCTGTGACATGTGCAATTATATGTCCACTGATCTATTGCCACAAGTGGTCGTTAAAAGTGGACCAGTGCACTGGCCTGGCGTGATTCCTCTGGACTCACGCCCCGGTGTCCTGCTGCTGCTCAGCTCCGTCACAAAGACGCACAGCTGCTCAAAGCCATTGTTGATCCAGGTGCAGGATTTGTGCACGTGTACGAGTGTGTCACACACACGTACGCAAATAAGCATATCCAACAACATCACTAGAGGTCTTTTTATACCATTTTATTTTATTTAGTTTATTCACTACAAGTTGTCCTTTACAGTGTTGCCCTTTACACTCGTGTGTGTGTGTGTGTGTGCTGATAGGCTATTAAACGTGCGGGGAGAACATACAACCTCCGTCGAAAAAAGACAGTCAGTTATTACCTGGGCTCGAACTGCCGACCTTCCTGCTGTAAGGCAAACTGACCTACAAAGCATACACAGTTGGGGCAGTGGAACATAAAGAACCATAAACAAGCCCATAATGACTATCAAGCATCAGACATGTACCTGCAGAGTCGTGTTAGGATGTTTGTCTTAATAAGGAGCCACTGTGTCTCACCTGGGATTTAAACCAGTCGCCAGAGGAAATCAGCTTCTCTTCACAACAGAGCAGGAGATTTGTGAATGGAAGTCATCAGCACCACCTGTTGCCACAATCAGCAGCATCATTGATTTCAGGTGTAAGGATCAGTGTTACTATTGCTACATCTGAAGTGGCTGCTGATGGTCCGTCAATCAGAGCAGCTCATTTTTGGATAATTAAATGTAAATGATACAGTGTATATATATATATATATATATATATATTTGTCTTAGAGCAATCACCACTGACATCTGCAGAAGGTTAAAATGAGAAAACATGGACATCTGCGATCGCATAAATTCTCCAGGAGGTAAATTAAGTTATTCATTAAAGTTTTTGGTAGTCGGCTAAATCAAACTAACTAATTACTATAGGATCTTCTGGGATATCTGTTAGCTGTTAACATGTGCCTAGCAACAAGGAATATGTCCAGAAACGTATCAACAAATGATGTAAATTTAACTGTTTCACAAATGAAGAACAGACCCGTTTGTTTCCTGGGGTGACGTGTTAACAGATGGTTTGAAACTCTCAACTGTTGCTACAGTCACAGAGATGGTTGATTTTCTTTTACTATTGTTACACATACAGCTGGCTGTTTCTGGTCTGTGAATCGTTTTCACTTTGTTAAAAATATAAATGATGCTCATTTCAGTAAATTAACTGTAAAAACTGTGTTCACCTCTGTTAGAATAGGCTGCAATTGGTCCATTTCTGGCGTTTGGTAGCTGTTAGCATGAGGCAGCAAACGATATATATCCAACAACCAACGAAATGTAAAGTTGCCAACGAGCTGCTAATTGTTCATTGTTTCACATGTTGTAAATAGTCCCCTGTGACTGCACTGTTTGAACTTTGAACTGCACTGACAGGCACAGTTGACTCTGCTACTTCT